AAGTAAACAAAATAGTGAAAAATTATAAAATTCTTGTCTTGTCTGCACCTACGACACACCAGGCAACAGCGGCTGAAAAACGCTGCTCAGGGGTGTGCAGCTTTAGGTCCCCCGGCCCCGGCCCGGCACCATGCAGCCTCAGGTCTCTGCCGATGGGTCCTTAAGGCGTCATGGCCTTTACTGCATGACAACCATTTGCATATCAGCCTTTTATTATGATGATACCTGCTATGCCATACAGTTCCCCTATTTAAATTGTATCAGTCAGTGGCTTTGAGCATATTCAGAATTGTGCAGCCATCACCACAGTCAGTTTTAGAACGTTCTCTTCGCCTCAGGAAGAAACCCTTCGCCCATCAGCATCATTCCCCATGCTCTGCTCGCCCCAGCCCCAGCAACCACTCATCTACGTTCCCTCTCTCCGCCTGTGCCTCTCTCTGCGTGTGCCTCTCTCTGTGTGTGCCTCTCTCTGCATGCATTTTCATAGACGTACAAGCAGATACTCTGTGGCCTTCTGTGACAGCTCCTTTCACTGAGCAGTGTTTTCGAGCTTCACCCGTGTTGCATCATCCATCAGTCCTTCATTCATTTTTGGGGCCAAATAATATTCCATTATAAGCCGGGGCGGGTTTTTAAGTGGCACAGAAAGGCTTACAGTTTGGAACGCTGGTCCTGGAGGGCGGGTGGGCAGGAGGAGGCCAGATGGCCAGGAGAAGCTAAAGAGAGGATGGGAGGGCAGCAAAGAACAGCCAGGACTGGGCACTGCTGGGGAGGGAAGACACGGTAATTGACTGGCTGCAGGGGGGAGCGGGAGGAAGAACAGGACAAAGGGTTTTATGAAGCACAGTGCCAAGAGATACAAAAACCACAGGATGCCCGGTGGGAGGGCCAAGGCGTGGCTGGGCAGCACACCTAATGAGAGAGAGCTCCTGGAGCAGGCAGCCTGGAGTGTCTGAGAGGGGCCAGGACCCGGTGATGGGAGAGGACAGCCGGGAAGGCGGTCCAGATGGAGGGGCTGGCACAGGCGGAGGGGAGAGTGGGCAGCCACTGCAGCCGGGCCCGGGGAATCGCCAGCAGATGGAAGAGGCACACTAACCATGGAGCCAGGAGGGTCTTGGTCTTGAAGCCAAAACCCTTTGGCATCTATCAGAATGGTCCTAGACCCTCACAGGAGCCCTGCGCCCCCATTCTAAAGCAGAGAAAACTGAGGCTCAGAGAGGTCAACTGCTCAACTGGAGCCGGGGCTGCCCCTTTATAGAGCCAGCAGGGAAAGGTTGGTACCTAAGAGGAAGAGTGGAGGAAAGGAAGGAGGGAGGACGGGAGGACGCAGGGACCCCAGAGCCAGCACACCAAAGTGGAGAGAGTCCTGGACAGGTGCCTGGAGCAGAAGCTGCCAGTCCCTGCTCAGCACTCGAACCACTGACGCAATGCAAGTCACATCAAGATGGTGTGGTGGGTGTGGTGTGGTGTGTATGTGTGGTGTTCTGTGGTGTGGTGTGGTGTGGTGTGTGTGTGTGTGTGTGGTGTTCTGTGGTGTGGTGTGTGTGGTGTGTGTGTGGTGTGGTGTGGTGTGGTATGTGTGGTGTGTGTGGTGTGTGTGGTGTGTGTGGTATGGTGTGTGGTGTTCTGTGGTGTGGTGTGGTGTGGTGTGGTGTGGTGTGTGTGGTGTGGTGTGTGTGGTGTGGTGTGGTGTGTGTGTGGTATGGTGTGATGTGTGTGGTGTGGTGTGGTGTAGTGTGATGTGGTGTGTGTGGTGGGGTGTGGTGTGTGTGTGGTGTGTGTGGTGTGGTGTGGTGTGGTGTGGTGTGGTGTGGTGTGGTGTGTGTAGTGGGGTGTGGTGTGTGTGTGGTGTGTGTGATGTGTGTGGTGTGGTGTGGTGTGGTGTGGTGTGTGTGATGTGTGTGGTGTGGTGTGTGTGTGGTGTGGTGTGGTGTGGTATGTGTGGTGTGGTGTGTGTGTGTGGTGTGGTGTGTGTGTGGTCTGGGTGTGATGTGTGGTGTGGTGTGGTGGTGTGTGGGTGTGGTGTGTGTGTGTGTGGTTGTGGGTGTGTGTGGTGTGGTGTGTGTGGGTGTGGTGTGGTGTGTGTGTGTGTGGTACTGGTGTGATGTGTGTGGGTGTGGTGTGGTGGTGTGGTGTGGTGTGGTGTGGTGTGGTGTGGTGTGGTGTGGTTGTGTGTGTGTGGTGTGGTGTGTGTGTGGTGTTGTGTGGTGTGGTGTGGTGTGGTGTGGTGTGGTGTGTGTGTGGTGTGGTGTGGTGTGGTGTGGTGTGTGTGTGTGGTGTGGTGTGGTGTGGTGTGGTGTGATGTGGTGTGTGTGGTGTGATGTGTGTGGTGTGTGTGGTGTGTGTGGTGTGGTGTGGTGTGGTGTGGTGTGGTGTGGTGTGGTGTGTGTGGTGTGGTGTGGTGTGGTGTGGTGTGGTGTGATGTGGTGTGTGTGGTGTGATGTGTGTGGTGTGTGTGGTGTGGTGTGTGTGGTGTGGTGTGGTGTGGTGTGGTGTGATGTGGTGTGTGTGGTGTGATGTGTGTGGTGTGTGTGGTGTGTGTGGTGTGGTGTGGTGTGGTGTGGTGTGGTGTGGTGTGTGTGGTGTGTGTGGTGTGTGTGGTGTGGTATGTGTGGTGGTTAGGAAAGTGGCCCCTGGAGTCAGACCACCTGGGATCGAATCCCGCTCTGCCACTTGGGAAGTTACTTCGCCTCTGCTTTGGTTCCCCATCTGAAAACGGGGGTGATAACATCACCCCGTCATGGGCGGGTGAGGCTCGGATGAGTTATTACGAGTTACGTCCTTACAACAGCCAGCATTTCATCAGGACCCAGTACACGCCGGCCGCCTCCCGCGCATGCTCCAGAGCCGCCTCCCAGCGGTGCCATGGGAGGCCAACACCCCCTCCAGAGGCGCCGGCGCCGTCCTCGCTGGTGTCGCGCTAACCTGGCCGGTGTGTCAGTCTGTCACACTTGGCAGCTCCTTTAAGACTGGGCTGGTCAGTTAGAGGCATGCCCAGGGGGTATTGGTTAGGGTGATTGCAAAGTGCTGGGGGGGGGGGGGGGCGCATTTTCTAGCGGCAAGCCCTGAGATCGCAACTGCAACCCCAACCCCTCCCAACCCTGGCCCAGTGCTGCTCATCGATTGCAATACTCACAGCCACGTGAGGGAGTAGATGCCCTTCCCAATGAGAAAACTATAGCTCAGAGAGGTCAAACTACTTGTCTGAGGTCACCCAGCAGATTGGTATTTGAACCAGCTAGTTTAATAATGCCAGGAATTGTTCTAGGCATTTTTGCCTAAATTAACCAAATGTCCTCCTCACCATGACCCTAGGCGGTAGGTACTATTGTCCCCGTTTTACAGGTGAGGGAACAGCTCAGGTGACTTGCCCAAGGACACACTGCTGGCACGGGTGGAGCTGGGTTTGCAGGCAGCCTGCTTGCTGACCACCGCCCTTCACTGCCTTGCTACATGCAAGGCCTCCAATGCCCAAGCTCTTTCCTCGTCAGCAGGCAGTTTCTAGAAGCATTTAGATGGAGCGTCTGACTGCCAGGTTCTGTGCTGGGCACAGGGGCGGGGCTGCGAACCAGACATTGCTCCAACCCCGGGGGAGCTGAGGGCGGGGCCAGGTGACCCCTGGAGTGATTGGCTAAGCCTTGGACTTGAAAGATACGCTCGGAGTCCGCAGCTGGAAAAACGATTTGGGAAATGTATGTTAGCCTTCCACATGGGAGGGAGGGATGCTCAGGGAGGTGGGCTGCTGGCCAGAGCTCACACAGGACTCCAGCCTGGAATGGGGTCAGGTGAGAGCCCAGGCCGGTGGACAGCTTAGCTGCATTTCATCCCAAGGAGGAACTTGCCCCTTGCACAGCTCTTCCCTGTCCACCTTCTCACTGCACCTTGCATGATCCCCCCCCACGGCACCACAGCAGAGCTGGGATGCTGAACCCCAGTGGGTGGAGGAAGGAACAGGCCAGGAGAGGGGCAGGGCCTGGAGCCAGGGCCAGAGGAAGGGCCCACAGGCCCACACGGGAGGGATGACCTCTTGTAGGCCCGAAGCCTGAGCTGTCGGGTCTGGACCCAAATCCTCAGCATCCCCCAGAGCAGGGAAGAGAGACCAAAGACCCTGTGAGATCCCAGAGGGCTCCGTGCCCACCAAGTGCAAACACTGCCCTCCTCAGGCTGTCCCTGGTACTTCGGAGCTCTTTACGTAGTAAACTGATCAAACACCTATTATAACCACTACTATTCATCCGGCACCTATACCTCATGTCACGTACTTTACACGCTTACACCAAAGGCCCACAATGGCCTGCAGAAATGGGCCTTAGAATCATAATTTTGCAAGTAAGGAAGCTGAGTCTCAGAATGGTTAAGCCACTTGTCTAGGGCCACACCGCTAGTACAAGGCCAAACTGGGACTCACACCCAGGCCTGTCTGCTTCCAAAGCCAGTGGTCTTGCCTCTCTCTGTGCTCTGCACTGTGCCAGGGCTTGCCTACTGGAATGCAACCTCAGTCATCCAGAACCCAGGGCCAGCCACTGGTAAGTGAGACTGGGCCTCAGGCACTGCCATCGGCCTCTTCAGAGTCTTCGGGCTACGTCAGGGTTGGTCCTAGGAGCTGTGGCACAGCCGACCTGGGGTGGGTAAGGAAGGCTTGCCAGGGGCCCAGCTGAACACATAGGCAGCTTTAGAGACAAGAAAGCAGGCACCTGGGACCTCCTGGCACAGCTAGGACTGCCTCGTGGGGGAGTGGAAATCCCCACGGACTTCAGGAGATGGTATTTCTCAGCAATGATACTGCGTGGCCCCTCCCACCGGCCTCCTGGCCCCTCGTGATTCTTCTGGTGCCCCTCCGTGAGACTGCGGGGTCCTCTCCGAGTCCACTAGTTGCTCACTTGCTCCACCATCCTGCTGTGGCCGAAGCCCGCCATGTTCTTCACGTGCCCCCTAGTGGTCCACGCACGTCATAGCAACCAGTTGTACGGTTGTTCCACTCTCTCTGTCTTCTCTCTCAGGTTGCCCATCTGGAACCTTCAAGGCCAACCAGGGGGACGAGGCCTGCACCCACTGTCCCATCAACAGCCGGACCACTTCCGAAGGGGCCACCAACTGTGTGTGCCGCAACGGCTACTACCGAGCGGACCTGGACCCGCTGGACATGCCCTGCACAAGTACGTCGGGGGCCCCTCGAGGGCGGTGCCTGAGTCCAGTCTCCTGCAGAGAGGCCCAGAGCGAAGGCTGGGCGGCTGTCCGGCTACAGCCAGCCTTTCCTGAGTGAGGAGGACCTGGGGGGGGGGGGGGGGGGGAGGAGGTACAGGGTGGAAAACTGGTTGGAAAAGGACTATCGGGGGCAGTCCCTGGGGTGGGTCATGCTGCCAACGTGCAGATGCCATGGAGCTGGCCTCTGGCTCCTTGTCCCCTTCTGTGAAGTCAGTCACAGGGAGGATAAAGTCAGGGTCTGGGTTTACGAAAGGACAGACAATGGCAGGGTTGGCAGAGAAAGAACCGACACAGGTGGTGTCGGTGGCAGAAAAGGCTGCCCGGGGTTCTAACCTGGCAGCGGCTGCCAGAGGCACAGGCCACGGCTCTCCAAGGAAGGGTGAGTCTGAGGGCAGTGTTACAACCCCTGCCTCCCACAGGGACGGTCCTTGGCCGCTAGTTACAGAGCTGGCCCCCGAGGCAGAGACCAGGAGGGTTTATTCTCCTAATAACAGAAGCCCGGGCGTAGGCAGTGTCGGGAGAGTATGGGGGACCCAGGGGGTTCTCTGGAACCCGGCTCCGTGTCTGCTCTGCCATTCCCAGCACGCAGTTTCTGTCCTTCGGGTCCCTTCGTAGTCCAGCTTTGCTGCCGAGGCGCCAGCCATCACACACGGTCCTGGCCGCAGGGAGGAGGGAAGGAATAAAGGGATGTTCTGCAGCTGCCTCCTTTTAAGAAAAACTCCTCCTTTAGCTTTTTCTGATCTGTGAAACTTTTTATCTGCCCTTCAATTCTGAATGATAACTTTGCTGGGCAGAGTAATCTTGGTTGTAGGTTCTCGCTATTCATCACTTTGAGTATTTCTTGCCACTCCCACCAAACCAGTATTATATGAAATGCCAAAAGGTGTTCTTTAAAAAGAGAAAAAAGAAGAAAAAAAAGTAAAGATAAAAATTATGGACAACAAATGCATGTCAACAAGTGAATGTAAAAGTCAAGTGAATTAAAAATCTGAGGAACAGAATAAACTGGTGAATATAATAGAATCAGGGGCATAGAATGGGAGGGGGTTTGATAATTCTCAGGGGGAAAGGGGTGTCTGTGGGGGGATACGGGAAGAGACTGGACAAAAATCATACACCTATGGATGAGGACAGCGGGGGGGGCGGGCCCCAACAGGGGGGCAAGGGAAACGTAAGGGCAGAGGGTGGAGTGGGGACCACGTGGAGGGGAGCTATGGGGCGGGGGGAGAGGAGAAACAATTGTAATAATCTGAACAATAAAGATTTATTTAAAAAAAAAAAAAAGGACAGAAAAAGTCCTAACCAACAGCTTCTGCTACAAACCGTAGCCAGCACCCCATCGGGGAAGGCTGGGGACGTATTGCCGCCTGAATAAAGTTGGGTTCTGTTGTAAGGGGGAAAGGGAAGTAGATATTGGGTGGGCATAATCCCCAACACAAAAAAGACTATCCCTCATAACAAACACCAAGAAGGCTGGCGTCCAGGGAGAAGGGTTTGAGCAGAAGTGCAACGGGATGAGAGTTGTGTTCTAGAAACATCTCTCTGGTGGGAGAAGACGAGAAAGTCCCTGGAGGAAGCCTTCTGGGAGGCGTGGGCTGGAGCGGGGCAGGAACGTACCCCCAGAGCGCCCCCCATTGACCGGCCCCCCTCCCCCTCCACAGCCATCCCCTCTGCACCCCAGGCCGTGATCTCCAGCGTCAACGAGACCTCCCTGATGCTGGAATGGACCCCGCCCCGCGACTCGGGGGGCCGGGAGGATCTCGTCTACAACATCATCTGCAAGAGCTGCGGCTCGGGCCGGGGCGCCTGCACCCGCTGCGGGGACAACGTGCAGTACGCGCCCCGCCAGCTGGGCCTGACGGAGCCCCGCGTCTACATCAGCGACCTGCTGGCCCACACCCAGTACACCTTCGAGATCCAGGCCGTGAACGGCGTCACCGACCAGAGCCCCTTCTCGCCGCAGTTCGCCTCCGTGAACATCACCACCAACCAAGCAGGTACGCGCTCCCGAGGCAGACTCCCAGGGGGCAGGGCCGAGCTCCACACTGCGCCCACTGGGTGTCCTGCCAGCCTCCGTCCAAGACGCCCTCGCACCTGCGGTTTCCTCCCTCTGAAGGCTGAGTGTGTGAGCCTGCCACCTGGGAGGGCGTGACCCTTGTGGTGGTGCTTCTAGTCGTTGCTGTCACTTGTTGAACGTGTGTGAGTGAACGTGAAAGTGAAGCTGCTGTAACAAAAGGGCCCGGGGCCGGGTGGCTGTGGGGACAGCCATGCATTTCTTTCTCACGCAGGAGTCCAGGAGTGAGCAGTCAGGTTCACAGGGCCGGCTCTGATCCCTGGAGATCCAGGGACAGGGACCCCTCCCGTCTTGTTGTCTCACCCCGCTGCTGCTCTGTGGGCAACGCTGAGTCAGCATGTCTGTGCTCCCGCCTGCAGGAAGGGCGGGAGGGGGGAGACCCGGGCAGCGACAGTGTTTTAAGCAAGGAGTGCAGAGGTGCATCACTTCTGTGCACTGTCCACGGGCAGGAACTTGGTCGTGTGGGGTCACCGAGCCACAGAGGAGGCATAATCTCTGCAGCCTGACTCCGTCACAGCGGAGAGTGGACCTCTAGCAGATCCCATGGGTGCTTTCCTTGAACCTGCAGCCCATTTCAATCTAACTCCACCCAAACTCTTCTCCCCACGCCCACCTTTAATAATCCTCTCTGTGGCCCCATGTCACCCTCCATCTTCCACCCTGCACAGCAGAATACGTTGCCAAACAATGCACTCTCACCCCAGCCCCTTGTCCGGTCCCTTCTCTCCACCAAGACCACTGTCCTCAGGGTCCCCAGAGACCTCCGGGTGGCCAGGTCCAGGAGACACTTGCAGCCTCATCCCCCCAACCAAGGGCCACGTGAGACTTTCAAGGACCGTACGGTGCCTGTGGGTTGAGAACTCTGTGGTTGGCACTGTGACTGTGCCCCTCGGTTATTCACTCAACAATCCTTGCCAAGCCCCTGCTGTGGGTGTGATCTGGGTCCTGTCTCAGGGGGAACCAGGGGTGGCCAGGCTTCAGGAAAGCAAATGAATGGGCTCTCCGGCTTCTTGTTCAGGGGATCCAGAGGTGGAGGTGGCGAGGCTTGTCCTAGGACAGTGGTCGGCGAACCGTGGCTCACGAATCACATGTGGCTCTTTGGCCCCTTGAGTGTGGCTCTTCCACAAAATACCCCGGCCTGGGCGAGTCTGTGTTGAAGAAGTGGCCTGAGAAGAAGTTTAAATTGAAAAAATGTGGCTCTCAAAAGAAATTTCCATCGTTGTCCTGTTGCTATTTGACTCTGTTGACTAGTGAGTTTGCCGACCATGGCCCTAGGAGGCAGGATTTGACCTGTAGGTTAAAGGCCCATTGAAATTGGAAGGGAGCCATCAAGAAAAATGGAATTCAGGGGGTGAGGAGGGCACGCCTAGGACATGGAAGGAGAGAGGGCAACCAGCTCCACCTGGTTGGGGGGTGCTTTCCAAGCTTGACCTCAATGCGTCCCCCTGGTCTTTTTGAGTAGGAGGTATCCGTGTCCCCATTTTACAGATGACGCTCAGAAAAGTAGAGTCACAAAGCAGGAAGATACAAGATAGGAATTAACTGCGTCTAACAGACTCCAGTGCTTGGGCTTAATTCAGGGTACGTCCAAGGAGCCTTGAGTGTGACTGTGGGTCTGATTGTGCGTGTGAGGGAGTGTATTTGGGGAAGGTGTGGGTATGTCCTATTGTTTGGGTGACTGTGTGTGTGTGTATGTGTGTGCGTGTGACCTTGGTGTGTGACTTCTTACTGATACACGCATTCCTTAGCGTGGGTGTGTCCGGATCTGAGGAACGTGGTGTGTGTGGGGGGGGGGGGGGGGAGGATGTTTGAACATGAGTTTGTATGTCTGATGGTGGTTTGCCTGTGTGTGTGTGTGTGTGTGTGTGTGTGTGTGATTGCATGTGACTTTGGTGGACGACTTCTTACTGACACGCACATTCCTGAGCGTAGGTGTGTCTGGATCTGAGGGATATGGGGGGGGGGGGGTGTTTGAACATGAATTTGTATGTCTGAATGTCTGAGGGTGGTTTGCCTGTGTGTGTGTGTGTGTGTGTGTCTGAGACGGAGGAGTGTGGTTTGGTTTGTGAGTGTTTGTGGTATCGCTGTGGCTGAGCGGGCATGTTTCTGAGCATGTGCCTGCAGTTCTCCAGGGGCCATGGGTGCATCAAAGTCCCGCTCAGACTGGGGTCCGGATGGAGCTGACTCGAGGTGGGCAATCCGAGAGAACCTCAAAAGCCAGCAGCTGTTGGCAGAGACACCTCACAGATAGTGATGCCTCTGCTGCGAGTGTCTCCCGCCTGACAAAGCCCCGAGTCAGGGAAGCCAGGCTCCCAGGGGGAGTGGAGGGGAGGGGACTCTTTCCAGCTGGGAGAAGCAAAATTCCCCAGAGCCCCTGGTTTCTTTCCCTTGTGGGGAAAGTGGGGGACCTTTCCCGGAACCCATTTGGGATCCCTGAGTGTGGGACTGCCTACTCAAGAAGCCTTGGCATATTAGCAGCAAGGATGGAGTCTGAGCTACTGGGATGGAGCCCTCTTGTCTGCAGCCGCAAACTCCCAGAGAACAGAGGTGGGGCAGAGAAGAAGTGAGGGGCTTTCAGAGAGGAGGGTGCCCAAGGAGCCCTCAGGATTGAGGGGCAGATGCAGTAAGAAACTAGCACTGGATTAGGAGCAGGGAACCTGAGTCTGAATCCCAGCTTTGCCATGCATTCGCTGGGTGACCTTCGTGTATTAGTCAGTCGTTGCTGCCGTAATGCTGCGTAACAAAAACGCCCCACTGCTCAGTTATTTGCCACAACAAACGTTTGTTTTCTCACTCGCTCGTCGGCGGGTCAGCTAGGGTTTAGCTCATCGGCACAGGCTGTGCTGGGCAGTGCTCCAGAATGTGGGCTGAATTCAGCCTATTCCACATGGCTCCTCACTCTCATTGGACCAGCAGCCCCCAGGCTTCTTTCTCTCTCCTGGTGAATGGTGGGAGCACACGTGACGGGCCAAGCCACGCCACACAAACACATGTCTCTGCTGGTGGTGCAGTCACCCACATACATGAGTCCTGCAGAATCCATGGCCAAGCGTGTGGGTGCATAATCCTGTTACAGAGAGGAAGAAGGAAGGTAAGGGATCCATCCTATCACACTCGTGAAGGGCACGCCCCCCTCCGGGCCTCATTCCCCCCACCAAACCATGCATCAGCACTAAAGGAGAGCTTTCAGAATGCAGGTTCTGGACTCCACCCCAGACCTGCTGAGTCAGAACCCCAGGAGTGAGCGGGAATCTGCATTTCTATCAAGCGGCTCAGATGTTCCTTGCTATCAGACAAGTGTGGGAAACTCAGACCTAATGGCATCTAAGCCCTCCATCCCTGAGGCTTTCTAGGTCATAACTCCCCCTCCCCCTCCTCTGCTCTAAGCTCCTTGACGCGTGTCAGGGATCCCCACTCTCAGGGATGCCCAGAGCCGAGCGGGGGACTGTGCCGCCACGCCATGCCCTCCCCGCAGTATCCCCTTGGTCAGATGAGGAAATGGAAGTCCAGAGAAGCAGAATCCTTTATGCTGAGTCTCAACCCTAAATAGCCTATGCTAGGATTTAAACCTGGGAGCAGGTGACTCTGAGTCTACATTGGAGAAGTCAGTGCCTGCCCTCATGGATTTCTGTACTGGTTGGGAAGATGAGACCTGGGCAGAGTCCATATACAAGATGGCATGGGTGAGGGCCCACAGAGGGGTCAGGGAGGCGAGGGAGATCATAGGCAGGAGAGACTATTTCTTCCTGGGGCGTGGCAGAAAGGCACACCCTGGAAGGCTTCTGGGGAGCGGAGGCATTTTGAAGAACGAGAGGCTTCTCGCCTCTCTGTGGAGCCCTGCAGGGAAGGAGGTGCCCCCGGGGAGGGACGTACAGGAGGCAGGCGGGAGGAAGAGTTCTGTTTCTCCTCAGCATCAGACTCCTCTGCCACAGGGCCTTTGCACCTGCTGTTCCCTCCGCCTGGAATGCTTCTCCCCTCCCACCTTCCTTCAGACCTTAATCCATCTTCATTGACTTTCCTCCTGACTTGATCATATGCGCCAGTCCTATGGCCCTCACGTGCCTGCAGCCGAGTTTTTGCTTTATGTCTTCAATCATTTCCTTCCTGTTCCCCCCCTCCCACTCCTCCCCCCATCATACACACACACACACACACACACACGCCATCACCACCGGCTCTGCTTTTCCTCACGGGTTCTCCCGGCACCTAGACGGGTGCACCACAGGAATGCTCCGTGAGCGTCTGCAGCGGGGCTCGGAGAGGCAGGGAGCGGGGTGGGGCGTGGAGAAGTCTGATAAGACTGGGAAGCAAGGCTGGGGACTCGATTCCCAGACACATGCCTTCAGTGGCCGGTTTTAATCAGGCCCTAAAATTTGATATGTAAATATCCAGCCCGCTGCCTTAAAAGGAAAAAGTATGTCTTTGGGGCAAGGGACTGGGCCTGGCGCGCGATCCCCGGGCATTCGCCGGAGCCAGAGCTGTCTTCTGGCTTCATGGAGCCGTCCTGCCATCTGTGAACCACGCCCCGCCATTCCAGCACGCCTTCCTGCGCTCCCCCACCCCACCCCCCGCCCCCGTGCGTGAGCCCTCGCAGGGACCCCCTGAGGAAGGAGGCTGGGCTGGGAGTCCCCACTCGAAGGATGAGGAAACAGGGCTTGGGAGAGGCTAAGCAGATCACTCAGCGAGGAAGAGGCAGACCCAGGGTTCGGTCTGGCTGTCCAGAGTCTGTGGCCTTTGACGCAAACAAGCAAGACCAGAAAGGACAGGAGGGAGGACGGGCCTCGGGGCAGATGATGGAAGACCACGCCGAGGAGGTGGCATTTAAGCTGAGCTCTGACTGAGAGCCAGAGGCAGAGGCAGCCTGGCAGGCCTGGGTGTGGACAGCACGGCCGTCAGGGGGGGCTCGTCCTCGGGGCCGCATCC